ACCCAATCATCAGAAAATTCTGCTATCTTTTGGTGAGATTAACTAAAAGGCATACTGTAGGAGTGAACCCCACAAAGCTATCCGCCCATGAGGGCTGGGACAAGTAAATTAGCACAGGTAGATATAAAAGGAAGTGAAAGGAAAAGGACCCTCTCTTTCTTTCTCTTGGAAGCCAGCCATGCTTCTAACTGCTAGCTTGTGTGACTCTCTCTCTCTGGTAAATAAATATATTGTTTTCCCTATAGCATTGACTACCCTCAATATCATACCCCTTATTTTAATGTATTTAAACACAAAGTCTTACCCGTAGAACCAGAAAATAGTTGCTTGGTGTGTTCAAGGGAATTGGCTGAAAACAACCAGGTGTTTGGTGTGTTTATCTTACTGCACCCCTTCAGAATATCAGGGTGCCAGCTCTGTCTTCCTCCTGCATTGTTGTATCCCTGAAGCTAGACCAGTGCCTACCATGCAGAAGGTCATCTACAGATACCTGCCAAAAACTGAGGGTTTGAGAAATGGAAGGAGAGAAGAGTAAGCTCAACCAAGGCTGGAGCAGTGTGTTTCATCCTTCTAGCAAAACAACCGTGGTCTTCATAAGACCAGTAGAGTCTACTTTCGAAAGATCATTACAGCTGGGCTTGAGGACTGTTCCTTCAAAGAAGGAGGAAGCAGAGGGGGTCATCGGACTCCAACTGAATATCCAGCCATTCATCAGCAGTTCTGCCTTAATTTCATGGAGCCTTGGATCTAGGGGTGGAACTTCAGTGTATAGGCTGGGGCACTCCAGCAACTTTAGGGTCACCATTCTCCTGTCCCTAACCCCTTGCCCTACCCTGCTGTGTAACTAGGCATCATAAACTTTGGTTTGACATTGGGACCTTATGGGGAGGGGTAGACATGGCTTAGTACCCCCAGGGAGGAAACTGTTTGCAATGTGGCACAATGGTAGAGTATTTGCCTAGAATTCAGTCCCAAGGACCCCAGGAATAGAGAAGGGGAAGTGGGTAACTTTCAGCTGGCCACAGAGGCTCACACCTGGAATTCCAGCCCTTGGGAGGGTAAATGAGGAGGATGATCATGAGTTCAAGACCAGCCTGGGCTGTGTCCAAAGCAATTCCTGGTCAGCCTGGGCTGCAGAATGTGAACATAACTTTAAAAAAATCTAATCTACACTTCAGTTTTGTTTTGTCTTTTGAAGTGTATCACTCACAGGAAAGGTGAGGTGGTAGTGAATGCTCTTTTTCCTAATGCCCAGAGCATTCTCCATAAATGTATGTGCTCGCGAATACGCAAATGATCTATTTAAAGTCTACCAACTTGTAAGAAAAGTCTCCAGTCCCCTCTTGGTGTTCCAGGAATTCAGCATTTCTCTGTGCAAATATCAAACTCCTACTTGGGCACACCAGATGGAGACTCGGCTCCTCGAGAAGCAGCTGTTGGCTAAGAAGAGTAAAGCCTATGCTCTGGAAAAGGGGCCCCAACTGTATGCGGCTTTCCCACATTTCCTTAAAAATGACTTGGGAGGAATGTGATGTAGGTGAGGCAGCTTCCTGGGGAGGTGTGGGACCAGACTGGTGCCATGTTACATGGCTGCGTTTTACTAAGCCGGAAGGCTCACAGCAAGGGTCAAGCAGAACCGACAGGAAGAGTTGATGCTGGCTGAAAAGAAGATGTCAAGACGGGGGATTGCACCAGAGAGTATGATTTAATGCCTTTTAAAAAATTTATGTGAGTCTCTTGTTTTTCTCCTTGTCGTCTGCGTTCCGAAGATAGAGAGTAAATCAGTGGCTTTAATGACATTTGCAGGAAAAAAATTACTATAACCCAGTGTACCTGAAAGCTTATAATTTTCCTGGCCAGTCATCTTGAGGTTTATTCCTTTCATTGCATTAAAAACGGAGACTAATTAAGGCAGCTGGGGCTAGAGTGGGCCAAATTGAATTTTTCTTATGGCTTTTCCTCCGTCTCACTGAGTGATGTCATTAAAGTGTTCAGGCTATGAAACCTTAAGGACAGCCTGTTTCCACTGCAGTATGGGTCATGGAGGAATGCAAAGGAAACAGGCTGCAGAATGCCGTAAAGTTTTAAAAGACTTACAGTAAAAAGTCTCCGAGAGGTACTGCAGAATGTGGGTGTTTTCTTCATTTTGTAAGCAGACTTCAAGAAGGTGAGAGGAACGTAGGTTGAAGAAGATGACTTGCCAGCATCACATGGTCGTTGGGCAGACAATTTGATGGGGGGGGGGATGTGTCTTCGGAATGGTCAGCCATCATTCTTAGCCTTTAATCTAGAACTGGCATTAGGATTGCCAAAATTCATACCTACTTGGCAGACTTACTTGGCTCGAGCAACTTTTGAGTCACCAAGTTGTATTTACGAACATTTAATACACATTTATAATTAAGAAAGCCCTAGTGTGTTTTCAAAGTAGAGATATATTCATTAAAATATGCTTACTTCATTTGTTTCCACCAGCACTAGAATTTAAAGAGTTAAGGGGTAGATTATAGCCCACTGTTGTGTGGGAATCAAGACTCACTAGACTCAGTACAGGTTAATTGAAGCTTGTCGGGACGGGGGGGAGCACTTACACAAGAAGCAGATGTTTGCTCAAGTTCCCGCTCCACAGATCCACCCAGGCTGCCCTCCCTGACCTGACCCGGAGCAAGAGAGCACCACTTCTCCCAGACCCCAGACCTAAAACCACTATCCATCATATCGGCACCTGTGACCATGCCCGAATGGGCGTGGTCAGCTCTATAAGTGCGGGTGGGGTGGGTATCTCACTACAATTCCCCTTTTAGTCTAAAGAAAAAGATTTAGGCTTGATACAAAACTGTATTAAAAGATTTTATTTATTATGTATATAGTTATCTGTGTGCATACTTGCACTCCAGAAGAGGGCATCAGATCTCATTATGGATGACTGTGAGCCACCATGTGGTTCCTGGGAATTGAACTCAGGTCCTCTGGAAGAGCAGCCACTGTTCTTAACCCCTGAGCCAGATATTGAGTAGGAATCACTATCTGTGCCAAACGGGCATGGTCAGTGCTACAGGTGTGGTGGATATCTCACTACAGCTCACTAACTGAATTTGTTTAATAATGGTGATTTTTGTTTTGAACTTTTGGGGACTCCTGACAGTGAGAGTAGGGGTGTCTCTAACTCTTTTGTCTGCTTTTGGGACCCTCTTCCTGCTACTGGGTTGCCTTGGCCAGTCTTCTTCTTCTTCTTCTTCTTCTTCTTCTTCTTCTTCTTCTTCTTCTTCTTCTTCTTCTTCTTCTTCTTTTTTTTTTTTTTTACTTTTTTTAAGATTTTAGTTTATTATGTAGACAGTATTTTGTCTGCATGCCTGCCTGCAAGCCAGAAGAGGGCACCAGATCTCATTTCAGATGGTTGTGAGCCACCATGTGGTTGCTGGGAATTGAACTCAGGACCTCTGGAAGAGCAGCCAGTGCTCTTAACCCGCTGAGCCATCTCTCCAGCCCGCCTTGCCCAGTCTTGATGTGAGCGTTTGTACCTGGTCTTATTGTATCTTGTTGGGCCATATATGAGAGAAGAATAAACAAAAAATTTTTAAATATATATATCAATTATACATAATAATGAGGTCAATTATGACATTTTATACGTGTATGTAATATATTTAGATGGTGGTTTTTGTTTATATACCTCTCTGCGTTTGTTTGGGTGCTTGTGTATGTGAGTGAGGAGGTCAGAGGTGTGGCCCTCACACTCCACCTTGTTTAAGGGAGGGTTTGTTGTTGCCCAGGGCTGTGGACACGAGGTTAAAAAGCCTATGAGCTTTCAGGGACTCTCCTGTCTTTTCCTCTCACCTTGCTCTAGAAATCACAGACACACAATACTACATCCTGTTGCTATAAGTATTGGAGCATCTAGACTTAGGCTCTCATACTTGTGCAACCAGCGTTTTATACACTAAGCCATGTTCCTAGCCCAGAAGAATGGTTTCCTTTGAGTGAAGTAGGCCTTCTGCATCCTCAGATGGAAAATATTTAGGCAGACCCTTCCTTTCGCTTGGTGGCTTTCGTGTATCTAGGCTGCATTTGGATCCTTATTCTTATCCGCAGCTCACTGCTTGTACTGATGCTGATGAAGAAGCAAGCCTTCGGCGAGTAAAGGAAGGTTCTCTGTGGTATGAGGCGGGCATTGATCAGAAATCTGTAAGTCCTATGGTTGGGGCGATGGCTTGGGGTGATTAAGCACTTGCCATGCAAGCACAAGTACCTGAGTTTAATATCCAGAAATTAAGCAAAAATGCAGGGTGTGTTGGTGCACCCTCACAATCCTAGCATGGGGGAGATGGACACAGGATGCTCCCTAGGTCTCCCCGGCCAGCCGGTTTAGCCTAATCATATAGCCCTCAAAACAAGATGAAAAGTTCCTAAAGAATGGTGTCCAAGTCAGGCTGAGGTGGTTCATGCCTTTAATTCCAGCACTCGGGAGACAGAGTTGGGGGGATCTCTGTGAGTTTGAGGCTAGTCTGGTCTACAGAATGAGTTCAAGGACAGCCAGGGTTGCTACACAGAGTAATCCTGTCTTGAAAACAAACGAAAAAGAATGATACCCAAAGTTATCCTCTGAACTCCAGACACACACACACACACACACACACACACACACACACACACACACACACACAGGGATTGGGGGAGTATAAAATTTAGGGGCTGTAACTTTTGAAGGAAGGATAGAGCCCAGAAGAGGACAAGACTCTGGGAACTTTAACCAGACTTGTTGACCAAAATAGAAAGATTGGCATTGCAGCAGCCTTGTATGGTCTCGAATGCTAATCTGGGGGGGGGGTCACTTTTCTTTAAATAAAAGAAAACATTTATTGATATTATTGACATAGAAAAAACTGTACAAATTTAATATACACACCTTGTGAGCCTGGGTATACTTATACACCGTGACACCATCACCACCACCAAGTCCACAAATACCCATTAGCTTATTTTTATTGACAATAGAGGGTTATAAAAGGCTCTAAGAAAAGGGCTTATATTATCCAAGACTATTTTTTTTTTGTCATTAGCAGTGGGGTAGCCAACTCACCCTGGCTTAAATAGTCTAGTGAGTCTCTTGGCTTACTTAATGGAAATGTCTGCATAGGTACTGGCCTCAGACAACACTTGATCTGGCAGGCCCAAGCAAGGATACAGGAAACTGGAGTCCAGGGTCCTGGTTGCTGTCTGTCTCAGCTGCATCCTCAGTTGCCGCATGGTTCCTCCTTTCTGTCTCCTCTTCAGAGGAAAAATGAATTGTGATTTCTGTTTTGTTTTGTTTTTTTGTTTGTTTCGTTTTTGGCACCTGTGGAAGAAGGCAGAAGCATGTTTTCCTGATAAATAGCCCTTGTGTTTCCAGGGCTAACACCGGGTTAGTGGTTAGGTTGACTGGAAATCCAGGTTTTTATTGGCCACCATAGTCTAACCCCTGGAGCAGGAGATAGGCCCAATTCTCTCCCCACCCTCCAACAACAGCTCGCAGAATGAAAAAGACTTCCTGAGAGAATTTTAGAATCGAGCCAGGAAACAAGAGCTCCAGGGTGGCCGACGAGCAGCCAATGTCCAGCAGTGGGAATGAAGTGACAACGGTAGGTTTATGTGAAAGTCAGGACCGTTTGCTCTGACCGTGAAACCAAGGAAATGTGAACAATCCGACCGTCACCTCCCCAAACTCCTGTAGCCCATTCACAGGACTCATCACTTCGGTTTCAGGGTTCTGGCCATTTTGTTTGTAGAACCAACAGTGATTTTCCTCAAACAGAAAGAGTTCTTGAACTTGACAGTAAAGGAATTTTCCTCCTGGAGATGGCTAGAGTTTTCTACAGAAGTCCTGCCTGTAGGTCCCAAGCTCATTTTATACACTGACCAGCCAGGAGAAGGCAGTAGGTGTCCAGAATTCATGAGGAAAACACAGTCAGTCTGTGTGTGTGTGTGTGTGTGTGTGTGTGTGTGTGTGTGTGTGTGTGTTTCTTTTTTCTAACTATTAAGCTTGAGCTTTCAGTTCCCACAAAAGCAAATTTTGACATTAACTTAATGGGAAGAAGGCAGCTACATTCTAAATAGAAGGGTTTTATTTCCTCCTGTCTGGCTGCAGCCTCTTTAGACAGGAACCCACTATGAACTACAAAGAGCTATCTGGAACAAATGAGGAGCATGCCCACCAGTCTTCCAGATGTTTGGCTTCCTTCAGGGCAGAAACAAACTGTCCTTGCCATTAGAGGTCAACATCACAGAAGCAATGCTGAGGGCTTGGTGTCTGTTTAGCTCAGTGACTGGAGGAGATGGGGGTGTGATGCCAGGTGTTCCCCACCGGGGCTTCCAACGTAGGCTCAACTTGATCTGAATGGCATTTAATCCTCGGCCCATGTACCAGTAATGCACCCAGGAAATGGATGTCGTCCTGGGAGTTCGTGAAACTGGAAAAACTGGAAGAAACCCTCCAGTGAAAAATGCTTTAATGCAAGGAGCATACCAAGTTCCGCAAACGGCAAACACACCTGGAGACAGTCCATTACAAAGTGCGTCTGAGGTTTACAGGATTCTCTAACGCTGCCGGGGTCCCCTGCATGCACAGGAAGCTTGCAGCTCACAGGAGCAAGCAGAGCCATAATGACGCTTGGCTAGGAAGGAAAACGCTGAGTTTAGGTCAGAAAGAGAAAGAAAAGGGGAATCGGGTCCCCACTCTCGCTTATGCTTACCTGTGGGCAGCCGGCAACTGCTCTATGAGGGAGCTATGCTGGGTGCTCTCTGGGAACGAGCAATGTTATTTGACGACTAGACTAAAGTCTCCCTCAACCGAAGCAGAGAGCAGTGAGTTGCTTGGCGTGGGGTAAATGAGCTCCAGGTAGAAAAGGGGTAAAACCTGGGAGCCATGGGAAGGGGAGGACCATGGGGGCTCTCTGAAGGGTGACAAGAAGAAAGGAATACTTAGGTCAGTGCCAGTGCTCTTGGCATTAAATGCTTACAGGTGATCTTTCAGCCGTTGCTGGGACTAAGAAAGTGGACTTGGAGACCTGTTTTCTCCCCCCTTATAAATTTCCATAGCTCCCCTGTCCTAAAAAAAAAAATAGTTCTTTGCCTGGTAGTTTGATTTTTTTCTAGGTAGTTCCTAAGGTATTTGGCATATAAAGCAAGTATGAACACTTCTAACTCATTTTTCTGTAATCTCACACGGCAAATAATGTTGAAAGTGTGGCTCACTTTTCATAGAGTCTGAACATATCTTTGTGCTGGTGTAGCACTGTCTTTTCACCGGGGTGTGCATGGGCAGTGCACCTCTGTGTTTAGATGTAGCTGCATCCTCACAGGTACTCTGTGGGTGGAGGCAAGAAGTCCACCTCAGGTACCGTTCCCAGGTGCCATCCCCTTTGTTTCTTGAGACAGAGTGTCTGGATAGGACCCCAGCCTTGCCAATTATGCTGGCCAGGCTAGCCCTCAAGCCCTTATAATAGCCAGGCTAGCCCTCAAACCCTTATAATAAATAGCCAGGCTAGCCCTCAAGTCTTAGGATCTGCCCTTCCCTGCCTTGCCAGATTTCTACATGGGTGAATGAGGATTGAACTTAGGCCCTCATACTTTTTTAGTAGGTACTTTATTGGCTACGACAGTTCCTTGACTCCTCCCTTGTTTACTGGATTTTACGATATTTCTAGGTTGGTCCCAAGCTCACAGCTCAGTCTTCGTTGTCTGAGCACTGGGATTGTAGAACACCACCAGCTAAGCTTTGTGGCTCTTTTTCATTACGGTCCCTGTGCATATAACAAGTGATGCTCTGCAACTCTTGCTGAAATCAGTGTTTTCCCTGACACCTCCCCACTCTCGATTCCAATCAGTAAAAATAAGATTTAGATACTTGCTCCTTCTGGTGGTCTGTATCATGTTTCTAAGTTTATTTATCAATTTCTTGATTTAACTTGGACTTTCAAAAGTGTGCGTGTGCATGCCTGTGTAGTGTGTGTGTGTGTGTGTGTGTTTGTGTGTGTGTGTGTGTGACTACATGAATTTTTGTCTACCATGTGCATGTGGGCGCCCATAGACCCTTAACGAGGGCACTGAATCTCCGAGTTAGAGTTATAAGTGGATGTAAGCATGGGTACTGGGAACCAAACCCAGGTTGTCTGTGAGAGCAGTAAAGTGTGCTTAACCACTGAGTCACTGTTCAGGACACTTTAGACTATTTACCCATTCTTGGTTAGAAAAGTGTTTGAATCTATTTCTGTCTCTTCCAGCTCTTCCTCCCGACTCCTACTGTTTGGCAGTTAGATGAGAATTATCCGGTCTTTGATTATCTTTAATCCACAGCTCTGAGTTCTGCATTCATGACTCAATCAGCTATGAACTGAAAATTTTTAGAAAAAAATTAGCATGCATGCTGAAATGTACAGTCATATTTTTTTTCTTTCTGCTGTTCTCTGAGCAGTATAACTAGTGCTGATATAGAACTTAAACCACGTTCAGTATTGTACGTAATCCGGAGATGGCTTAAATTGCTGAGAGTGTGTGCACAAATACTACCCCATTTTATACATGAGACAGAACTCTGCGTGTCTTGGTCTGCACATGAGGGTACTGGAGCCAATCCTCCTCAAAACCAAGGACAGCTACATCTTACTTTATTAAAAAAAAAAACTGGGAAATGCCATCTCACTAATAACCCAGATTGACCCTGAGGTATTAGTTGTCACATATCAGTCTCCCGGATTCTGGGATGACGAGCATGAACCATCATGTCTGGCTTTTGAGCATCGTTAAGATGTGATATGAGGAGGACACCGGCTAAGAGCATATGTTTTGTTTATGCCCCTCACTGCTCTGCTCCCCATCTTCTCTTACTCAGATTTTTTTTCTTCTTTTTTTGGATACAGAGTCTATTTAGCTGTGGCTGAATATAACTGAAGGTGACCTTGAACTCTTAATCCTCCTATTAGGATCATAAAAGTGAGTCACTGTGTCCACTGGGCCACTTGCTCAGGCTCTCTGTCCCCAGCCTTGGCCACATCTCCTGCATCTTGACTAGGTAAGGCCAGTAGTTAGAGTTCAAATCCAGCAGCCAGAGATGATGGATCCGCTGTGTCTCTATCGATGATCAAAATCAGAGGGAGGCAATGATGGTGGCCCATGCCACAATCCAAGCACTTGGGAAACCGAGGCATTAGTTTTGCTGTTAAGTTCAAGGTCAGGCATGCTACATAGTGAGTTTCAAGCCAGCCTGGGCTACAGAGAGAAACTCTGTCACACAATACCAAACCAAACGAAACAGCAAAGCGGGATGCTGAGGCCAGGCTGCTTTTCTAAATGCACTGAGTTTATCAAGCTACCACATCACAGAAGCAGACTCAAGAAATGGAATGGGAATGGAGGCTATTAGCATTCTATCAGGTGCTCCTGGCTAAGAGGCTTAGGGTGGAACCTATTTGAACCTTGAAGCTTTCACCATTACATTTACATAATTAGCACCATTTTAATCTGTGGGACAACCTTTTTTCTTAGCAACTTCTTTGTGTGTGTGTGTGTGTGTGTGTGTGTGTGTGTGTGTGTGTGTGTGTGTTGCTTGAATGCTCAGATGCATATGACTGTCAAATGCCCCATTTCCTTTGTGAATGTCTTACAATGGCACCCATCAACATAGATGATGCCACTTGAATTGTTTCCTAATGTGTTAGTCTCTTTTTTCAGATGCATATTTTAATAGGGATCAAAATGCCACCCAGTCACAGGGGGAGCAGATATGTTTCTTGAAATATAAGCTGAGTGACTCCCAGCAGCCCCAGGCTTTTCCTGATGACAGATATAAAGGGTCTGCTATATTACTTAAAGCATAAAGCAAGAAGGGCAGCCACGCAGCAGCAGCAAATGCTTTCTAAGCAGCTGTAGAGACCGGTGACTCGTAGTTTGCCTGGGATTTTGTTCCAGCTTCAGCACTGATGATCAAGCCTTAGGATCTGCTCTGCCTCCTCAAGGTTAGGATTACAAACTTGTGCCACCATGCTGGCTTTTTAAATGTAGTTTCTGGACACCAAACTTAGAAATGACTGCGCTGTCTCCCTAGTTTGTTTGTTTGTCTGTTTTTTTCTACAAGCATTTGGCTTTGGTTTCCGTTTTCAAAGACAAGTCTCACACATAACCCAGGCTGGCCTTGAACTCACAGCCTTCCTCTTGCCTCACCTACCTAGGGATGGGATTATAGCCATGTGCCACCACATGCTAGTTCTTGCCATATATTAATTGCAAAAAAATAGGAGACTCAAACTTCAGCACAGGTAACTATAGGCATTTGATGTTTGTTGAGGCCAAAGATACACACTGGAGAAAAGACAACGTCTTCAACAACTAGATGTTCACATGCAGAGAAGAATTAAATTAGACCATCCATTATCTATAAACCCGAACAAAAATCAACCCCAAATGGATCAAATACCTAAATGTGAAATCCAAAACTGCTAAGAACAAGTGTAAGCGGGACATCACAAGACACAGGTATAAGAGTAGGTCGGAATTTGCTCAGAAACTAGGGTCAACAGGTGAAAAGTGGGGCCTCATAAAATTGAAAAGCGTCTGTGCCCCGAAGGAAACAATCGGGTCTAGAGTGATTTCAAAGAGTGGGAGAGTGTCTTTGCCAGTTAACCATCTGACAAAGGATTAATATGCAGAATATATGGAATAACTTGGAATGATAACAAGAAAACAAATGTATTGGCTACTTTATGTTTCTGTGACAAAATACCACCACAACCAAAAGCAACTTCTTAAGGGAGCAAGCGTTAACTCTGACTTACAGGTCTAAAGGGTTAGAGTCTATAGTGGTGCGGAAGGCTTGGCAGCAGTTGCTGAGAGATATCGGCAAATGAAGAGAAGAGAGAGCAAACTGGAAATGGGCAAAGGCTATCCATCCCCAGGGATGCACTTCCTCCAGCAAGGCCCCACCCCCTACGGGTCCCGTGACTGCCCCAAACAGCACCACCAATCAGGGACCAACTGTTCAAATACATGAGGTGGGTGGGGCGCTACACGATATTTCTCATTCAAACCCCCACAGCGAACAACCTAATCAAAAGATGGCTACCGACCTGAGAAGAAGCAAAACCGGCTAAGGAACCTCTTTAAAGGTATTCAACAATCTTAGGAACTCTAGAAATGCAAATTAAGACTACTTTGAGATTACGTCTTTCCCCCAGTCAAAATTGCTAAGATCAAGAAAACAACTGACGGCAAATGCTGGCTGGAGAAACTACGGAGAAAGGGAACCCTCACATGTCATGCATGGGATTTTGATCTGTTTAGCCAATGACTTGGGGCAGCAAGCTCTAGGGCGTGGTCTTGTCTGCTACATGACAACTGATAGGCCAAGGGGGAAGGGACTCTTGCTCTCTTGCTTTAGAGCTCTGAGAGGAGGGTCTCTCACTCCCTTGCTCTGGAGCTCTCTGGGATGGCAGAAACAGAGTAGGCGGCTTGCTGTTGGTGCTCTACCCTGAGTGCTGGGATTAAAGGCGTGCGCCACTAATGCCTGGCTGAAATAAGGTATTTTTAAAAACCATTTCAAAAAGGTAAGAGTAGTCAAGGAAGGTGTCTTAGTTTCTGCCTCATTGTTGTGATAAAGTACTGAGGAAAGGAAGAGTTGGTTCTGGCTCACAGTTCCAGGACACAGTCCCTCATAGCGGGGTCACAGCAGCAGGAGCATGAGGCAGCTGGCCACCCTGCATCCACAGCCAGGGAGCAGAGGGAAATGAGCATCAAGCTGGAAGCTGCCGTATCCTGTGGGATGGTGCCGCCCACAGTTAAAGTCGGTCTTCCCATCTCAACTAACCCCAAACAGCTCATCTGCTGTAGGCTGCTCGGAGTCCTGTCTCATGGGTAATCCTAGATCTTGTCAAGTAGGCGGTCTCAATTAGCCACCACGGATGGTCAGTCTTGGTTGTCAGCTTGACCACATCTGGAACCAACGACAACCCAAGCAGTCGGCCACACCTGTGAGGGAGTTTTCTTGATTGGATCATTTGAGGTGGGAAAACCCACCCTAAATCTGGGCCATGCCTTCTGGTGGCAGCCAGGAAAAAGGAAGTCTTTCACACTCACTGGAAAGTTCCTTTATCCTGCTGCCGAGGCATTCCTTCCCTGACATTGGAGCCCACTTTTTTCAGGACTCCAACAATACCGGAGAACAGCTGAGACTGGCTGTCCAGAGACAGCCATCGCTGAAGAACTATCCAGATCACAGTCTGTAAGTCACTCTAATCGATAATCTTCTCTATCTCTCTATCTCTGACTCTCTCTGTGTCTATCTGTCTCTCTGTCTCTGTCTGTGTCTCTCTCTCTGTCTCTCTCTCTTTCTCTCTGTCTCTGTCTCATACAACACAGAAGGCATCTTATGAAAATCACAATGCTGAATGAAGTCAAAGGCCAGTTTCTGAGGGACAGGCATGTAGCTCAGCTGGCAGAGCGCCTTCCTAGAATGTCTGAGGTGCTACATCTGCCGCCGGCGCCACGAGAACCGAAGTGTGATGGCCATGATGCCTAGGGTGCCTGTGATGTCAGCACTTGGGAGGTGGCCCAGGGAGGAGGTTCAAAGTTCAAGGTCACCCTTAGATACATAATGAGTTCAAGGTCAGCCTGGGCAAAATGAGACCCTGACAAGAAAGAAGGGAAGGAAGAAAGAGAGGGAGGAAGAGTTAGGGGAAAGGAAGGGAAGGAAGATCAAGAAAACTATATATATATACATATATATATATATATTTAAAAAAACTCATCAGAGAAACCAGGTGCACCAGCACAGGCCTATAAGCTCAGCTACTCAGGAGGCTGAGTCAGAAGGACCATAAATTCAAGGTTGGGCTAGAAAACTTATTCAGGTTGTCTCTAACATTTTTTCTTCCTTCCCTTCCTCACTCTCCCCATCTTTCTTTGGCATTCCTTCTTTCTCCTGTCCTCTCTTCTCTCCTCTCCTTTCCCCCTCCCTCCTTTCCTCCCTCCCTCTCTCCCTCTGTTCCTTCCTTCCCTCCTCTTTTCCTCTTTGGCACTGTCTTGCTCTGTAGCTCTGGTTCTTCCAGAACTCAAGATCTACCCACAGCAGCCTCCCACATGCTGGGGTTTGAAGGTGTGCACTCTCAAACCCATGCCCAGCTTGACCCAATTTTGACTTGCCATCTCCTTCATCTTTTTTTTTTTTTTTTGGTCCTTCCCCAAGTATATTTTGAGGGAACACTGGGTTTTGGAGACCACAGAATAAGAGGGGCATGGCCAGAGGACGGTTTTCTTTTGATCCTGTCCTGAAAGGCATCTGGCAACTGTTCTGTGCCCTCAAGAACAGCCCTGAAATCCCTTCTGCTGTCGGGGAAACACAGGAAAATCAGAGACAAGATCAATGTCACTTAGTGAATTAGTGACAGAGACAGGAACAGAATCCAGACTCTCTAACTTGAAGATCCCCCCCCCTTTAATGTTTAAATGGCTCTTTTCATTTTAACCCAGCTGTGCCGTGTTAATAAGGTTTTGAGGAGACCCAGCCCGATGCTTTGTGCAGCTCACGGATTCCATATTTACCTCAGCTATTTGTTCTCTGTTTACTAAGTTCTGTTTGTTCTCGATGTCCGTTATCTGGCAGCCTACACTCATATATGATTGTTTACAACACTTACCGTTGGCTTTCAAGTCATGCCAAGAAGGACTTGGTGTAAACTAGCTGTCTGTGACAGCCACACTGAGTTAAGCCTTTAAAAGGGTCTATTCGAGCCTATATAAATAAACACAGCAATATGGAAAGTAACCCCATGGACATTTATGGCTCCGTGGGGCAGCTGGGAAACCTGCAGACTTTCCCCGCTGTGGTTTGGATTCTCTTGTTTAAAAAATATATTTTGTTTTTCTTAAATTCTTATTTAAAGGTTTTTCATTGTGTATATTCACAGTACTGTGTCACATATGGACATTTTCATACAAGTACATGACGAATGTTGAGCATGCAGCCCATGTCATGGTTGCAGAGAGTTATTTACATTTTAACTCACTGTCTCATCCAATCTCCTCCAGCCCTCACACACCCCAGGAAAACCCTTTCAGATGCAACTAGTTACAAGTTGCAGGTGGTTAGCAAACCCTCACCATGGGATTGATTTCCAGACAAAATGATCAAAACTAAATCACATCTATGCTCATTAAAAGGCCATCAGGCAGAGGAGGACAACTGCAGAGCCACAGATGGCTTGGTCTTTTTGACTAGTAAATATGGTCAGGACTCACACTGCAATGAACTGCTTAGCTGTATGAAAGGAACCAGAGCCTAAGAAAGCAAATTCTTCCCCCCTACCATGAAAATATTCTGTATACCCCCTCTGTGGAAAATAATTCAATGCTCACTTCTTTCTGGAGGTGGCAGGGGTTCCGTGACATAATCTGTGGGGTGAATCCATACATGTGGAGGTTGGAGGGAAATCTCTGGTATCATTTACTTTCAGACAATGTCTCTCACACTGGCCTGGAACTCAGCACAGAGTCTAGGCTAGCTAGCCAGTGGGCCTCACGACTTCACCAGTCCCTGCTTAAACACACTGGAATCATAGACCTGTGTAAGCGTCACCCTCTCTCCCTCCTGAGTTCCCTTCCCTGTACTGTGACATAACCTATGAATATGGAAATAAAAGAGAGTTTTAAGCCTAAATTCAGTAAAAGTGAACTTTTCCCTTCTTCATTAGATGTTGATTTACTCGTCACTGTGCACCCAGAACTTTCTCAAGTATCGTGTGCCAGGATAAGAGGTTCACAAAGATTGGGAAAGCTTTCATCGTTACTCTTGATTGATTGGTGAGTTATCACTACATTAATAATTTAGGGGCCTAAGAAATGGCTCAGCAGTGAAGAACATTGATGGGAGAAGTCCTTCTGCATATATGTTTCTCTCTCTCTCTCTCTCTCTCTCTCTCTCTCTCTCTCTCTCTCTCTCTCTGGTTTTTCAAGACAGGATTTCTCTGTATTGTTTTTTTTTTTTTTGGAGCCTGTCCTAGAACTCACTCGGTAGACCAGGCTAGTCTCAAACTCACAAAGATCCTCCTGTCTCTGCCTCCCGAGTGCTGGGATTAAAAGTGTGCACCACAAATGCCCAGATTGTATATTTTCTCTTATTGGTTGATGAAAAAAACCACTGTCTGACCAATGAGGTAGGAAGGTAGGCAGGACTAGGATGAGGAGAATTCTGGGAAAGGTAGGCAGAGAGGGCCCACCAGAACGGTCAACGTGTAGGCTGCCAAAGGAGTAACAGGTTCAGACCCTTCTCTGGTAAGGTAAGACCACATGGAAATACTTAGATTAATAGAAAAGGGTTAAATAATTAAGATAGAGCTAGCCAATAAGAAACCCTAGTCACCGGCCAATAGTTTTATAACTAATATAGCATCAGTGTGTTTCTTTGAGGCTGAAGCAGTGGCAGGACCTAGGCAGGACAAAAGAAAATTGCCAGTAACAGAACACTGGCTGTTCTTACAGTTTCCAGCATTCACACAGAGGCTCACAACTGTCTAGAACTCTAGTTCCAAGGGATCTGATGTCCTTTTCTGGCTTCTGTGGGCATTAGGCATGCACACAGTGCACCGACATGCCTGCAGTCAAACACTCCTACACATAAATAATTTTTAAAAGTAACAACTGGTGATTTTCGTCTTATGTATATGTTCATGTTGGCTCCTTCAGAAACAGCCCTCTACTTCCTAGTGATTCTTCAGTATTCTTGTTTGTTTGTTTGTATGTTTGTTTTGAGCAGTGGTAGGATTTGAATCTAGAGATAGGCAAGTGCTCTACCACCCCCTCAGCCCTTTGTATTTTTTTCCAATGGACAGTTCAGTCCCCACCTTTATTTAATGATAAAGGTGAAGTTCAAAGATGTATCAACCCATCTTGTTCCACAAGGACAAGGAGGACTATATTATTTTCATTTATGATTATGTCACAGGCTGGGAGGGGGGCTCAGGAGGTAAGGTGAATGCCTTGAGAGCGTGAAGACACTTGTACATGCCTGTGATCCCACTGTGGGGCAGTGAAGACAGGAAGAGGCCCTGAGGCCCACTGGCCAGTCAACCTAGCCTATTGATCTTTGTATCCTTAGCAAGACACATGATCAATAAACAGCTGTAGGGACCACAAACGAATGAATGAATGAATGCACAATATTGATGCTTTCCTTTAAAAATGGCGATATATTTCCATTCCCTATTATTTTAATTTGGCTCTTCTTAAGTGGCACCCAAATGGTGTTTAAATTTGCTTTTAGTGTTTAATTAATGCCAGAAGGGTTTATGTTAGCTGAAATCCTGTGAGGTCATTTTTGTTCCATGTAATATTTTTTTCTTTATTAAGTGCTTTTGGGGGGAGTGGGGATTATCGTTGATTTTAGAGTATATGAGATGTGGATGTGGTGGTTGTATTTAAAGAAAGATGAAGACTGAAATATTTAAGAGCTGACATTAGATGGTGTGCTGAGTTGGCCCGAGAATAACTGGGGAGAGTTGAGTGGAATATGGATAAAATTTCTGAGAAAGACCGTGAGCTGCTTGCTTTTGACTTTGGGTGTTGGGCAAATGGAGGTTCATTAAGTTATACCCACTGCCACTGTCTATACATTTCTCCACAATAGCACCAAAAGCCATGCTGTGTTTCCCGGAACTTTAGTGCAAGAGTAACATGTGAACAACAAACATGAAGTCACAGCAGTGCCCACATTGCTGCCCTGAGACATAGGAACAACTGTGCACGCTTGCTTCGTTTCCGGGGGTCACATTCTATTTAAGCGCGTTTGCTGTAACTGTCCATTTCAAATCCTGAGTGCTGTGATGGCAGGACCACACCATGGCAACATCTTTTGAGATCATCTCTGGGATAAGTAAGCAAAAGCCTTCCAGCCCTCTTCCCCTACAGTGCTTCAGTCCAGTAATTTCTGTGAGTCCCAGGATTCCTTGGGTAAGGTTGCTTGGTAGTATAGGCTGTCAGATTAAATTTGAATTTCAAAAACACGGCAGACATTTTTGCCTATATCTCGAATGCTGTAGAGAAAGAACCTCACGCCTTTTATTTTCACTTTCAGAACTTGGCAGCCTTATTCTTGGAGCTGTGATACCTTGAGAACCCTAACAGGTTAGTCAGTTAATTAATGAAGGACTGCTTTCCATGTTGGTCATACTGAAATTCTTATAATTAAGCTTCCTTTGTAAGAAAAAAAGGCTCAGCTTTACTGAGGAAAATAAAAATTCTATTAGGATACTTGTATTTTCAAGACTTTTTTTAAAAAGAAAAATAAAGTATACATTTTTAGTGTGGTGGCTTGAATGTAATTTGCCCTCATAATCTCATAGGGAGTGTCACTATTAGGAGGTGTGGTTTTTCTTGGAATGGGTATGGCCTTGTTGGAGGAAGTGTGTCACTGTGGGGGGTGGGCTTTGAGGATTCCTGTGCTCAGGATCCTGCCCGGTGTCTCAGCTGACTTCCTGTTGCCTCTAAGATGTAGGACTCTGAGCTATTCCTCCAACACTACATATGCCTGCATGCTGTCATGGTCTAAACCATGATGATAATGGACTGAACCTCTGAAACTGTAAGTGAGCCCTTCTTAATGAAATGTTTTCCTTATGAGAGTTGCAATGGCCATCGTGTTTCTTCACAGCATCATAACCGCAATTAATACAGTTAGGGATGATAAAAGGTTTGTTAAAAAAAAGAAGAAGAAGTAGCTGGCATCTACCATGTACTCTCCTTACCTTCGCTGTTATTCATTTGGGCTTTTTGAGACAGGGTGTTACCCGACAGCCTAAACTGGTTGGAATTGTACGGCCTTCATGCCTCTGCCCTGGAAGTACTGGTGATTAGATTTTTGTGCCATCGTTCCTTTTACCTACATAGCAAAGTAGGAGCTGTCAAGTCTCAAGTTATCTTCATGTCCCTCGAGAGTAATCCTAAATTGCTCAGTCCTGTTTTACCAGTTGAGGCGCTGCACCCCAAGCTTCTGCTGTTAGGTGACACAATTTACTTAGTGCCTTTCAGTATCCCATTCTCATCAGCTGTGTTAATGGCTCCTGCTGAAGAGTTTGTATCAGGGCACACAAATACAGCGAGGACCAGTAAGGCCTCCTATTATAGCTTCTATCTTTTATTCATTTTTAAATTAATGAATCCCAGCGTTGGGGAGGCAGAAGCAGGCAGATCTCTGAGTCTGACGCTAACTTGGTCTGTAAATCGAGTTCCAGGACAGCCAGGGCTACATAGAGAAGCCCTGTCTAGAAAAACGGAAAAAACAAAAGAGAGAATTATTTCTGTCTTTACATGAAATTTGAAATTTATTATTCATACATCCTTACTATCTTTGTAGTCCCTTTTACATCATTGTCCTCATCACTTTCAAGCTTCTTACAAATATTGAAATAGCTGAATAGCCACATGTGAAGGATAAGAAAGAGGGTAAACAAGATAGTTTGGTCAGTGGGTAGGGGCACCTGTCACCAATCTGATGACTTGAGTTCAATCCCCATAGCCCACATACTATGTTGTTACATGTGCTGCCCTCCCTGCCACTCTCTCTCTCTCTCTCTCTCTCTCTCTCTCTCTCTCTCTCTCTCTCTCGCTCTCGCTCTCGCTCTCGCTCTCGCTCTCTCTTTCTCTCAGGGGGGCATTTGTGTGATAAAAAGATACTGTTAGACTCAGTAATAGGAAAACAAACAAATAGAAAACAATCAAAAGTTTTCAGTACGAATGTCACCAAAACACTAATATTAGCAGATATGTATGTGTGCATATACATATACATATATAGTATTTCAAATGGGAACATGAAAAGGTGTTAGATATTATTAAGCATCATCAGAGAAAATCACTGTGTGCTTGTTAAAACAGCTACAGTATAAAGACTGACCAGAGCAGGCACTTCTAGACATGGTGGAGTTGGACACTACTGGGAGATGTTTACAGTGATACAGTCTCCCTGGGAAACAGCATGGCAGCGCCTTTAAAAGTTGAATGCACACTACATGCATTCCTACATACTTACGCAAAATAAGTAAAAGCATATGTCTCCACAAATCTTTATGTCTAAGTGTTCTAGTAGCTTTGTTTGAAATAGACAATAACAAGAAAATAACCCAAATGGCCATCAGTGGGTCAATGGATAATAAATTATGACATGCCCATGCAATGAAACTCTACTTAGCAAGGAAAAGGGACTATTGGTCAGTTTGTAACATGGATGAATCTCAAAATAATTATGCATCAAAAGATCAGACCAAAACGGGATTCCACTTATATGAGATTATTTTTAAATCTCTCTCTCTCTCTCTCTCTCTCTCTCTCTCTCTCTCTCTCTCTCTCTGTGTTACCATTGGAAGCATGGACGCATCATCAGAAGGATAAAATCCAGAAGAAAAATTCATTGGTAGAACGATGTAAGTAGAGAGATGTGTTGATAGCTTATTTGGCTCTCAATAATTCAACACTTGCCATGTGTCATCAAGCTTGGGGCTACTGTGCATCCTGTTGGTGGTGACACTGTGCTCATTCCCTTGCTTCGCTGTAACGATTTGTTGGTGGGTGTTGCCATCTTCGCAGGTTTTCAACACCCAGTGAGGTCATCCATTCTCAGCCGGCTGCTTTGAGACCGGAGTGATGATCAATCAATCCTTTCTCCGGAAGAGCCTATCCAACTATAATGTCAACAGAAGATTCTTCTAGCCATTTCCTCGGTGTCCCTCCTTTTTAGCAACTGCATGACCAGTCCTTCTGTCTTCTTCCCTACTCCTGTCTCTTCCCTGCAATGGCTGGGATTTCTGGATGAGGCTATATAGATTGGTTTGGAGCTACTGGCTTTGGTAGTGTGTTCCACCACACCTTTCATGCTGTGCTTCCGTGGAGCTGTGGTGTCAAGTAACTTCAGAGAAGTATCCCTTTGTGCTAATAAGTGGGCTCCTCAAGGGGCTCTAATCTCCTATAGATCAGAATCATATTTGGTAGTTTGGGGTTTGGGATGACAGGAGTTTCCCTCAATTTATCAGTGCCCTCCCAAAACCTGACCAATAACCTGAGAATAATAAGCTCTGCTTATTTTATAGCGCCGATTCTCACGATAGCCAACATTTCCCCCACAAGAAGTAACTTCCTCCTGCAAGATTAGCATTAATCCTTTCAGGAGGATGGAGCCCCCGTGAGACCCAAACACCTCATAAACATCTCAGCACCTCTCCACATTTTACCCTGGGAACCAAATTTCAGCATGGATTTTGGAAGAGACAGACCATCTTAAAGCCAAGATTTTGGGCATCAATTCCTGTAGGACCCTTACTCTGCCCAGAAAAGCTACAGATGTGGGCAGACATCAATTTATGGTTTTAAAGAAAGCCCTGAATTAAGCTACTTTTTAAGGAGCAGACTTCATGCTCAAAAAATGATTTGAGGCAGAAAGTCTAACAATGATACATTTGCCAGTATTATGGCCTTTTAAACAGCAAATGTGAAATGAAAGATGTCGAAAGTATTTATGACTTCAGCTAGGGATTTGGCAAGCATCAGTTCATATCTTGATAAATCACCTAAACACTGAGCAGCGTTTGTGTTCAGCTAAGATAAAGCTAGAATTAATAGGCTAATGTCATCTGAAAGTATGTATTACTAATTCTTAATAGTATGACATTATTTTCCCTGACAGACACATTTAATATCCCAGGAGATTCATATATTAGGAAATAAGCACCATTATACTATCTTATCCCCAAAGAGGGACACCTATATACACAACTGTCATCTTTATCTTTTTGTCATTTATTCATGTTTCTTCTTTGATGTTGTTACCTTTGTTCAAAGTAATGGACCCCAAAATGTCATAAATGGCTCCTTTGTAGGTACTGTGATAGAGCTGTACACCCAATAAATGATCATTAAGTCCAACCAGTAATAGGTGTTTGTGTTCCCTACCATAAGAGGACCCCAGGGCATGGATTTGTGTGGAAATAACTTACACGATGAAATAATTTATTCCAGGAAGATTCACAACAAATGAGGGATCTGACAGAAGGAAGGGTAAAGACAGCAAGGGCATTAAATGATTAGATTACCTCTGTGGGAAATTGGGGCACCAACCTTCTAGAGACCCCCGGGAGATTTTCTGATTCGAATCTAAAAAATCACCTGGGTGAGGGGTGAGGGAGTTTGGCTCGCTACTTCCCAAGACAATTTCTCACTGGCTGATGGTCATTTCATTTGAGGTTAAGTCTGTGTATAAATGTTAACACACATCACCTCATCTCTTTAGACTTTGATTTGTTCCCTTGAGGGAGTGAATATCGATGCTACCACCTGTCCAGAGGCTGCACTGAACCAGGGAGGGCCGGGAGTGCATAAGGGCTTGTGAAGAAGTTGCATTTCCTTTGTGAATGTCAGTCGGTCCAACTTACAAGAATGTCCACTTGTTCTGTGTGGCTGATCGCGTTACAAGGTTGAAAAATGTCCATCAGGCTGTATCTATGAGACTGCCATGGCCCCCGGCTTTTAAATTGGTTTATAAAACAGTGCTTTATAATCTAGATAAAGATGTCTCATTTTGCCGATTGCTCCCCTAATCCAAACTCATTGCTTTCAGAAGAGAAGGCCAGCAATTTTCTTTTTACAACATCAGGTCTAGCCGGGCGTTGGTGGTGCACACCTTTAATCTCAGCATTCGGGAGGCAGAGGCAGGCGGATCTCTGTGAATTCGAGGCCAGCCTGGTCTACAAGAGTGAGTTCTAAGACAGCCTCCAAGACAATACAGAGAAACCTGTCTTGAAAAACAAACAAACAACAACAACAAAGAAAAACACAAAACAAAACAAAACAACAAAACATCAGGTCTAAGTCCTTAATGTTAAATCTTTTTCCTACTCTGCTATTGGTCAGCTCCTTGTATGGACTCTGCATCTTTGTCTATACTGTTTCTCCAGGGATGCTCTTAAGACTAATTTCGCCTTCCACCACCAGACCCACGTGGCCATCCTACTATCACTGCTAAACGTACTACCCATCACCCATGAGCCTGGTAGCATGGAATGGGTTTCCAGGTCCCTACCTTTCCTACACAGAGGAGTGAGTTGGGATGGAGGAAAAAACCAAAAAAAACTACCCATTCATTCCTATAGCAGTGAGGCTGAACTATGAATGGTCTGTTGTGATTATCACACTGAAAGTTGGTGCTGTAATCTTACTGGCTGTTCGTTAGCATTGTAGAACATTGTTTAGTCCTCAGAACTCCTCTGATTTATGACTGTCTTTTGAAGGCATGATCTTCCCTCCCCTCGGTGATGGATGTCACATGGTATACTGGCCACAGCCCTTTCCCCCTGTGTTCCAGTCAACGAAGTGGCTTGGCAATGTTGCTCTTGTTTTAATTAATCTAGAACTAAATACAGAACTATGTTGATGTTTTCTCTCATCAAAATCCCCAAACCGTGATGGAAAACAGGAGATGTGGTAAGCGGACACATTAAGGTTTTGGTCTTAAGGCCTGTGTTCAAAAGGATCTCCCAACTCTACACCAACCCCCTCTGCTTTCTAAAACTCATCTGGCAGCGATGAGCAATTGGAGGTTGTAAAATATAGAATAGTTGCCAAGCAGAAGGTTGAAAAATAAACGTTCCTGGTATCTGCCCCACATGTGACTTTAATGCAGGGCTCCTTCCTCTGAAAGGGGAAAGGTTAGCATACAGAGACAAGTGTCATCGTTCTTAGCTGACTCTTTTTAGGGCATGAGAGTAAAGATTGTTTTCCCAGACTGGGGAGATGGCTCAGTGCTTAAGAAATACTTCCCATGCAAGCATGAGGCTGAAGTTCAGATTCCTAGCACTCACATGAAAAGCTGGCCAGTGCCAGCGGCCTGCCTGTAATCTCTGCACTTGGCAGACAGAGATGGAGGAAGACTGGCTAGATAGACAGGAACCAGTGTGCTCTGGTTCCAGCGAGAGATTCTGCCTCAGAAAATAAAGGGTGCTCAAGAAAATGAATGGACAACAGCCTCTGGCCTCCATCTGCACGTGCACCTGAGCATGCACACAAAAGCACCCACATGTGAGAGCACACACACACACACATGTGCACCTGAGCATGCACACAAAAGCACCCACATGTGAGAGCACACACACACACATGTGCACCTGAGCATGCACACAAAAGCACCCACATGTGAGAGCACACACACACACACATGTGTACCTGAGTATGCACACAAAAGCACCCACATATGTGAGAGCACACACACACACATGTGCACTTGAGCATGCACACAAAAGCACCCACATGTGAGAGCACACACACACACATGTGTACCTGAGTATGCACACAAAAGCACCCACATATGTGAGAGCACACACACACACACACACACGTGTGCACCTGAGCATGCACACAAAAGCACCCACATGTGAGAGCACACACACACACACATGTGTACCTGAGTATGCACACAAAAGCACCCACATGTGAGAGCACACACACACATGTGCACCTGAGCATGCACACAAAAGCACCCACATGTGGGAACACACACACACATACACTACACACATTCACTCACTCCACACACACACATACACTCCACACACACACCCATCAGACACACATACTCCCCCCACACTCCACACAGACACATACACATATACACATACACTCCACAAACACACACACACTCCACACAGACACAGATACATACACGAATAAAGATTATTCCCTCAAATTAGACTTTAGTGAACTAAAGGAAACTTAAGTTCATGAGAAAAAGCACAGTGTGTGTGTCCTGGCACTTACCTCAACAGGTCTCCATAGTGCAAACTGCTCTGCTATAGTCATTTGTGAACAAATACTGCCGCTGCTGCACATGCCCAAGTAAGAAGACACCGCACATGGGGCGCTCAGCTGGCTAATCTGAAGATTCTAATTACGCTCTTACGGCACTTAAGAAGCACTGGTGCTGTCAACCACCGAGATTTGTCTTTGTCTTCTCCGTCAGCCAGCATTTTCCCATCACCATGCAACACGCTGCCAATTACACAGAAGTCGTGTGTGATTAGCATGGGATTTCATTTGTCTGCTGGGCGGAGAGTTTTCACACCCCTAGCGATAACATGTTAGATTTGGGAAGCTCTATTTTCCCAGCCTAGTCCAAAGAAGAGGACTCAGCCGCCAAACTAGTCATGTGACCTGCCTCCCAGCTACACAAGCTAGGGTGGCCCTAACCGTACTCGTCCAATGACAAACAATTGGAATGAAGACGGGTTGACTAATAAGGAGGGGATCATCCTCTTAGAAGTTGCTATAGTTAAGAAGCCGACGACTGTGCCGGGCGGTGGTGGCGCATGCCTTTAATCCCAGCACTCGGGAGGCAGAGGCAGGTGGATCTCTGTGAGTTTGAGACCAAGCCTGGTCTACCAAGCGAGTTCCAGGACAGACTCCAAAACAATACAGAAAAACAAAAACAAAGAAGCCGATGACCTCTCACTGAGGTCCACAAACAGCTAAAACCTGGGCGAAAGCCTGGAATCTCTACTTCGGTTTGCTTCTGTCTCCTTTGGTCACCAACATCCCTCTTCAAGTGGGCATGGTGACCACTCAGGGCGCCCCTGTGGAGACACTGCAGATAGCCTTTTTCGTTCTGCTCCAGGGTTGAAGGCATGAAGACTCAATGTTCTCAGACGGCATTTCCACAAATTGGCTGAACACATTATGGGAACAGTGGAAAACATGGAGCCTGCTTTTGGACGCTAGGCGCAAGAATTTGAAAACAGATACCCAAAATTTCTGGAAAAAAAAAGATATTTTGATATATTTCTCACTCCGTCTTCAGTCGACATAAATATGCCACCTGCCAGTTTTCAGTGGGATTTGTAGAGCTATAAACTGGCTGTACAAGTTAAAGAATTCGCTCATGTCCCTTTACTAATTTTTCATAGGTCCCAGGAACAGCAACCTTTGCTTTATAGTCATTATGTGTGTTTTCACTTAACAGCGGTACGCGCATTTGTAGGTGGACTGTTTTCAAGAACGAAGCACCCCGAAAGCCGTGTTAGAGACAAAGTATCCAACGAGGGCCTGGGGAATCCACTGAGAACTGCGATTACTTCCAGTTACATACAGGCAGCCATGGTGGTACTGGCGTTTATGTTGCACATATTCAGGCGCACAAAATATGGAGGGCACCCATGTCCTGCTGCTCTAACACTCTGTGCCTTACTCCTTTGAAACAGGGTCTTTCCCTGAACCTGGAGCTAGGTGCCGGCAAGCCCCAGTAAGTCTGTCTTTGCCTCCGCGCAGCCCTGAAGCGGCATAGCCATGCCTGGCTTTTTATGTATCTTCCGGATTTGAACTCAAAGTCTTTATGCTTGCACAGCAAGCACTCTTCCTGAGTCCTTTCCTCAGCCCTCAAATTTGCTACTGCTACATCGGTTCTCAAATACAATGTCAAATTCGCTACTGGTTTTACGTTTGCCTTCTTTCCCCCTTACGTTTATAACAGAAGTATTTTTAAAAATCAGTTTGGTTTTATTACTCAGACATGCCCCTCTTCATTATTAGTGACCGCAAACTTAAGAACTGCTCGATGGTTTTTAAAAGACTCTCCAAATGAGGCACGCATGTAGCCAAAGTGAGCCGATCCACAACAGCTTCACTTTCCCGAGACACCCTGGACGTCGATGTTCCCGTGGCCTCTTCTTCGAGGTTTCTCAGCATCTACTTTGCGGTCCCAATTTCATCTCCTTTCCACCCACGCCCTATCCTGACGTTACTCTACCTAGGACACAAATCTAGAGCTCTGACCTCTCGTACAATAACCTATGTTCATCTCCTCAATGGACAGGGAGTTCTTTGATGCCAGGGATATATTTTTCATGTTTGTATTCCTAGAGCCCAGAAGTGTACCTAAGATA